TTCTTTGTTTGTATGTTCTCTTTTTAATGGCTAAATTTCAAGTTTATGAAATTTAAAATGTGAATTTAACATTGTGGCAGTTTAGTCGAATAGAAAAAAACCTCATTGCCCCTGGCAAGTCTGTGGTTGATGGCACTTTGATTCTTTTCAAGTAGAATTGCTGCTGTCGATTTATTTCTTCATGGATTAGCAGAATTTGGAGAGATCCTTAATTCCCTAAAACTTTGGTGTTTTGAAAGGCTTTCTGGATTTTGTTTAGCTGAGCTGGATATGTGTAAATCTTGCGTGATTTTGATAGCAAACTGGCCAACATTCTACTCCTATCGTGACATCTCAAGCTAGCTTAATTAGCTGGCGATCATGCTAACATCATGCATGAACAGCAGTCAGAGTAAAAAACCGTCATGGGTTTGAACAAGTTGAAATCTGAATTTAAGGTTGTAAAATCATCTAGGAAGGAAGTCACAGCAAACCTTGGATAGTCTTAAGGAAGCAAAATAAGGCTGGATCTGATGAATTCTTGGTTGGGAGATCACCCCGAGGAGATGTAAAAAGTTATGATATTTTATTTCCTCTGAAGTATTCTTGTTTATACATTAAGCCAGTGTTTCTCAACCTTGGCAACTTGAAGATGTCCGGACTTCAACTCCCAGAATTCCCCAGCCAGCGAATGCCAAGGTTGAGAAACACTGCATTAAGCAGTTTGAGCGTATTGAAATTAATTGCCTAATCAGTAACAGGTGTAGTTCATTTTTTGTACAATACTTAAACCATGCTATATGATTTAAACCATGCTATGAAATTTACGCGGTGGCTCAGTGGCTAAGACGCTGAGCTTGTCGATCAGAAAGGTTGGCAGTTCAGTGGTTCGAATCCCTAGTGCCGTGTAACGCAGTGAGCTCCCGTTACTTGTCCCAGCTTCTGCCAACCTAGCAGTTCGAAAGCACACAAAAATGCTAGTAGAAAAAGAGGAACCACCTTTGGTAGGAGGGTAACAGAGTTCTGTGCACTTTTGGCATTGAGTCGTGCCAACCACATGACCACGGAGAGGTCTTTGGACAGCGTTGGCTCTTTGGCTTTGAAACAGAGATGAGCACCGCTCCCTAGAGTCAGGAACGACTAGCACATATATGCGGGGAGAACCTTTACCTTTTATGATATTTACTGAGATTTCTGTCCTATGTAGATATTCTTGTGCAACTTTTTTTATAGATGGAAGGGGGAACAAAAGACTTTCAAATACTTATAATGTTAATATTTCTTCTTTGAAAAACACCCTTAATAGTTTAATCAAACAATCATGCTGAAACAAACATTTATTAATTTGTGGGTAATAAAAGAAAGGTTTGAGTCTTCCATAAAATCCTAAATCTGCCTTCTTTAATATCAGACATGGGTATCTTCTAGAGATGTTAGCTGACTAGATATTCTAAAGGATTCTATGTTGAGAAAATTTGCCCCAAGTTCTTCTCATCCAAAAGCTCCATTACTTGGGTCAGGTTGAAGGTCTCACACCAAATTGGAACTTCTTGGAAAATTACCACCTACCTGTGGTGGGTTCCCATTTTTTTTCCTACTGGTTCACTTGTGCGCACGCGTGATGCTTCTGTGCATGCACAGAAGCGTCCAGGTGGTTGGGCGGAGCCTCCTGCCACCGCCAATATTGGTTCGCCCGATCCGGGCTGAACTGGCAGCAATCCACCTCTGCCTCCTACATATCCGTTGGGCAACTCAATCCATCTTCGCATTGTCTATGGAGGGATTCTCAATCATCCAGGTCATGGTTGTCCCCAATATTTTTTAGTTTTTCAGTTAGAACTGAAGAAGTTGCTTGGATGAGAAACGAAACGTTTTCAAAGAACACCCCCACCCCCCCACCCCCAAAAAAAGTCCACTTGTCTTTTGGAAAAGCACCTTTGGGATATCTTCACTTTGATTTCCTTCTTTATGTTAAGGGGATGATGTTCTTTGCTCATTTTGTCTTCTAGGAGAATTACGAGGTATAACTTGGCAGAACAGTTTCAACTTAATGAATGCAATCTGTGGTTCTAATCTAATCTTTGGCTTAAGCAGGTATGATGGCAACTTGTGTCTACCTCCTGCAGTTTCACTTATATTTCTTAAAGCTTCTTGCACACCCTTGTAGACAGAAGCAAAGTTTCTGTTTGAACATTGGTTTCCGGAGCAGAGAATTCAATTTTTGTTCCATGTTGCATATTGTTGTTCCAAATTTCAGTTTGCATGGTACTTTCCTTCTGCCTGCTGCTTTCTGGAGTGTCCAACATTGTTGAAGAGTCTTGGAGAACATTTCTTCAGGGTTTTTGCTTCTTTTTGTTTTATTTTTATTTTTCTTTTTAAAAAAAACAGCTTTATTAAGTTTCAAAGAAAGATAGAATACCAAATATTAAAATATCAATATAAAATCTAAAAAATTGGAAAAATGAAAGGAGAATCAAACTTATTGTTGTTAGTGAGAAGTCGTGTCCGACCCATTGCGACCCCATGGATAACGTTCCTCCAGGGCTTCCTGTCCTCTACCATCCTCTGGAGTCCATTTATGTCACGTCAACTGCTTCGGTGACTCCATCCAGCCACCTCATTCTCTGTCATCCCCTTCTTCTTTTGCCCTCAATCGTTCCCAGCACGAGGCTCCTCTCCAGGGAGTCCTTCCTTCTTAGGTGGCCAAAGTACTTGAGTTTCCTCTTCCGGATCTGGCCTTCTAAAGAGCAGTCAGGGTTGATCTCCTCTAGGACTGACCGATTTGATCACCTTGCAATCCAAGGGACTCACAGGAGTCTTCTCCAGCACCTTCGTTCAAAGACCTCCATTCTTGTTGGTTCAAAAGTTTTATTTCTTTTAAAATACAAATATTTCATCATTCCTCAATCAATAAAACATCGAAGTACATTTTTTTTGTATGCCCCTCCCTCCCTCCACTCCCCCACCCCCCCTCCCCCCCCCCCCGACTTCCCAGAACCCGTACACGGTATGGATTTTTAACAAACACAGTCTAAAATCTATTGAGAAAA